CCAACACGATTTGCTCATGCGCATTAGATCCTCCATTTTCATTTGGATCTACCAAATAGTTTCTGCATCGGTCCATTTTTTTACACCAATATCTTCTGTCGCAGGTGTGATCTTGCGTAACAAGAAGTCTTCATAAATAATGCTATCTTAGACGAGTGGACAATGCTAATGATATATTTTTATAAGAAATGAGTGAAATATATTTAACACATGAAATGAAATAGGATTTAACTTTCGGTTTAGCTATTGATAGTCTGAGTAATTAGTCAACTTGTGTATATAATATTAAATGGCTCACTATGACGAACTGGATCTGAGTTGAATGCTGGTAGCTGACTATTTTATCAGAGAGTGATATGTTATGTTTATAGAATATATTAGAACCATGGTTGTTGGCTAAGAAAGTGAAATATGTGGGAGGAAGGTGAATTGGTTGAAAAATGAGTAAGTGAAAATTGTAATTTCTCCTCATGGTTAGGAATTTTTTTTTTTTTTTTATTTTAAGAATATAACATGTATTTGAAACGAACATGAAATTTCTTCGAAGTATTTTTCAATATGAACATGACAAGTTTGATTAAGTGTCGACGATAGGTGTTTGACACAAACATGACGCTTTTGTAAAATGTTACTGTATGGAGTATGAAGAGGACAATTAGAAAGAAGTGCTTGTGACACGTATTTGACTTGAACATGATACTTTCGTAAAGTGTTAACGACATGTATTTGACTCAACCATAACAGTTTTAAAGAAGTGTTGGCGATACATATTTCACACAAATATGAACCTGCTATGAAACTATGAAGAATCAATATCATACACCTAGATGAAATTATATCTCATACAAACTTGAGAATTCTAAAAAATGTACTCATAACACGTATCAAATTACGAACATAACAACTCTGAAAATGTGATAATGACTCATTTGACACAAACCAAACAAATCTAGAAGTATTAATCCATCATAGATCACCACGTAAACAGCTAAACAATTTATATAAAGAACTCAAACGATCACAAATTAATTGAACACTAAAATTATATAGTAAAGGACTCAAGTGATGCGGTAGTCAAATCCCCTCTTGTTTAAGCATGTACCCTGGCCGACATAGTGGCGGTCTGTAATCCATGTCTGACGGTCCACACAGTAACTACATACGATGCAGTAAACGAAAAGAAATCCAACCAATTATTAGCATTAAAATATAGTTAAACTCAGTAACTAGTTCGAGTACTTTGACGTTCTAACAGTCCACCAAAACACTGTAAAAATGGCTGCCACACCCACGTTCTTTCATCGTCACCATCCTCACACTCACAGCTCTGATTTCAGCAACCCAACAACAACATCACAGACATGCAAGCTCACCATCGAACCACTCCATGCCTGCATCACTGATTTAACTCTAAACCCAGCAAAACCATGCAAACCCAGCAAGCCCTTTCTGGGTTCTCTCGGTCCGTACCTCCTCTGCTTCTCCTCCTGCTCTTATGCTCCACCTCCGCATCTGGGTTCGCATCAATGGGACCCATCTCGGCCTCTTTCGGCAAAGATGGCTTCTTTTGCGCCATAGACGCTAGCGGCAAGCAGGGCGTGGTTTGTTGGGGGTTCAACAGCTCTCCATCGACGTCGCCTTCGGCGTCATCCTCGTCCTCTGCCTCTTTCAGCAACATTCCGGCGATGGCTGCTCTCTCCGGTGGTGAAAATTTTCTTTGTGGTATTTTAGCGAACACCTCGCAGGCGTACTGTTGGAGCTCCGTTTCCCCAGGTATAGATCTTGTTCCTCTACCATTCAAGTCCGCTGCTTACTCTCATATTGCTGCTGGGAAGAGCCATGTGTGTGCTATTAAAGGGTCGTATTACTCTGATCACGAATATGGAACCTGTAGATTGCTGGGAAATTTTTGAAACTTCGAATAGAAGCTTGAGTTCGAAACAGAGCACTCTGTTTTCTGACCAGGCAATTGCTAACCTTGTCTTCAAAGGGGTTGTTTCTGGTGAAGGGTTTAGCTGTGGGGCTGTTAGAAATGGAGGACTGATTTGTTGGGGGCCAAATTCTTCGAATTTAGGTGTTTCGGGTCCCGTACTACAGAATTTCACAGCTTTAGCTTCAGGGAGGGCCTCAGTCTGTGGAATTTCAGATTTTGGTGAGTTGCATTGTTGGGGTGATACTGATTTGTTGGATGGTCATCCAAATGGAACTCAGTATGTGTCTTTGGCTGCTGGTGATCATCATTTTTGCGGGATTCGACAAGATAATCACAGAGTGGAGTGTTGGGGGATGTTTAACTCCTCTTTGATTCCAAAGGCTTCCGGATTTATGGCGATTGCCTCGTCGGATTATACCACTTGTGGGATCAGGGAAGATGATTTGGTGATTGATTGTTGGGCTGCCAATGTAACTTCCTCCCCAACCGATTATGATCCTCCATTGGAATTGTGCAGTCCAGGTCTTTGCACTCCTGGTTCTTGTGGGCAAGGTGAGTTTGCTTTCAATGCTAGCACACTCAATGAGGTTGATTTGACAAGCTTGTGTGTTCGAAAAGATCTTACGATTTGTTCCTCGTGTGGGTCAAATTGTTCCGAAGGCTTCTTCTTGTCTAGTTCATGTACTCAACATGCTGATAGAGTGTGCACAGCTTGCTCTCTTTGCCAAAACAGCTCTTGTTGGGATATTTGTGGGCTTCAAACACCTCCAGAAATGAGGAAGAAGCTCTGGAATCATGTGCGTAGGTTGGTGATCATATTCGGGTCTTCTGCTTTGGGTTTTTTGTTGATATTAATTTGTTGGTGCCTTCTTCCCCGTTTAACTTCTCGAAAAAAGGAAGGGAGCAAAAAGCAGTTTAAATCTTGCATTGGGAAAGCAGAGTTGGAAGCTGACAATAATGAGGATCCAAACCCTCCTCCATCCGTGATTCCCTGTCCTGGGATTGCTCAAGTGTTCCGTCTCTCAGAGCTAAAAGACGCCACCAACGGATTCAAAGAGTTTAACGAGCTTGGCAGGGGAAGTTTTGGCTTTGTTTACAAAGCTGTGCTAGCAGATGGACAGCAGGTTGCAGTCAAGAGAGCAAATGCTGCCACTATAATTCACACAAACAGTCGAGACTTTGAAATGGAATTAGAGGTCCTTAGCAAAATCCGCCACTGTAACAATGTAAACTTATTGGGTTACTGCTCAGAGATGGGGGAAAGGCTGCTTGTATATGAGTACATGGCCCACGGGACGCTTTATGATCATCTCCATGGCGGGCTTTCAGCCCTGAATTGGAGCCTCCGGTTGAAAATTGCAATGCAGGCTGCTAAGGGGCTTGAGTACCTTCACAAGGAATTCGTGCCTCCCATTGTTCATCGCAATGTCAAGACCTCGAACATTCTTTTAGACGCTGAATGGAGTGCACGGATTGCAGATTTCGGACTCCTTACATCTAATGACAGGGATCTCAATGGAGATTTAGCAAGTGATGTTTACAACTTTGGAGTAGTACTGCTAGAGATTCTCAGTGGAAGGAAAGCTTATGACAGAGATTACACTCTGCCAAGTATAGTCGAATGGGCACTGCCTTTAATCAAACAGAACAAGGCAGCTGCCATAATCGACCGTTATATAGCTCTCCCGAGAAATGTTGAGCCTTTGCTCAAGCTTGCTGATATAGCAGGACTGGCGGTAAAGGAAAATCCAACCGAGCGTCCTACAATGTCAGATATTGCATCTTGGTTGGAGCTCATTGTGAAAGATGGTTTAACCTTGTAGTTTCTGAACCAGGTCGCCGGCTATTCATCAAAGATTAGTTGAACAAATATTTGTTACAACTGTTTCAGTAAGTACTGCTCTAATCTTCCTCAACTGTACATCTATTTATGAGCTGCTTGTAAATTAAGTGATTAATCTTCTTTCTTCGTCTCGGATAATTTCCCTTAATCCTCACAAAGGGAAGGGAACATGATTTTTGTACCATTCCACACTAGTTTTCCACATGATACTCATCCAATAATTTGCCTTCTCATGCAAAGCATTGGAGAGCCATCCCTACTTGAATTTGGGAGCAATTATTTTAGATTTAATGCATGATTATGCCCTGAACATTTCATTTTATACAATGGTTTCGAGCATATGATTCGTTATCAATTTAACAAATTCTTTACAAACTACCACGGTTTCTGTGGATATAATCTTTTTGAACCGCGATTTTTTCAGTCATTCGATATCTGCTAGCAGTTTTTACAAAAACACATTATAGAACTCGGAAGTGTGAAAACTACAGCATCCTGTGAACTGGAGCAACGGAGAAATGGAAATCCAACTCATCCAAGCACTCTTACGATGAGTCGGTTTCGGAAGAGGAAAATAACCTTATCTCTGTGACTTTTGCATTGCAGCTTGTCTCATAGCCCCACAGTGGCCGTGCAAACCATAACCAAGCTGAAGACAAAAACTAGAAAGGGTAAGTGGCCTTTCAGTGCTTTGTTGATTAGATGACCTTGTTTTGTGCAATTTGACAACTCAAAAGCTTGTCAATTGATTGGTTTCCGAGGTGATACGAGGAAATAGCGGGCAAAAAGTTGAGGGACATATATGTGGCATATAGCCCCTTTCACCAAAAGGCCCCTCCACTACTAGTCAAGTAGTTCTTCACATTTCTCGCACTCAAAAGGTACATGTCCTAGTGACTTGAGGCACTGTCTTGGCTTGGAAATTGGGTGGTCGTCAAGTGAGGGTTGGAAGTTAGAGCCGGTTTGGACCGCGACACCTGTCGCCCGCTCCGTTTTTGGTCGACCAGCATTATAACATTTGCTACTTTCTGTTTTTCGTTTAGATTTATATTAAATCTCGTACATTAACGTTCGGATAAGAGAATTTCCATGTAGCATACGTATAATGCATGTCTGGTTCTTGTTAGAGCTGGTTTGGATGTCATAACCATTCGGTCGGTAATGTAATTTTTGCCTTTTACTTCTTGTTTATGAACTTTTGGCACTGTAAATAACAGGAACAGGTCGAGAAAAGCTCAACATACATGCTGGTTTTCGCATTAATTTACTGGGAGGTAACTTTGTACACGTACTTTGCAAAAGTGCTATCAACAAGTTGAGAAAAAATAAGCTTTGCAGAATGGTTACAAGGACAACACATAATCCTCAGATTTATACTGATTTTGTGTGCTGCTAGATGTAGAGGCCTTGGAGAAAGTGCTACGATCATATGAGTTCTCTTGCCTCGTTTTGATATCCATGAAATCCGAAACAAGCCCGGGTTGCAAAATATGAGAGTCCTTGATGTCTTCCTCGCCGGACAACATCTCAACCACCTTTGACATTCGCGGCCGGTGGTTGGCCCTTTCTTGCACACAAAGTAGGCCTACCTTCAAGAATCTGATGGCTTCGTCCGAAGGAAAGTTCATCTGAAGCGTAGGATCAACTAGTTGTACAAGGGTTCCGGCCATGTGTGCTTCCCATACCTGCAAGTTCACAAACAACATTGCTTCAGTTCCTGAAGTCACAATCGAAAGCGTGTTCAAGGCCACTTTGCTTCAGTCTAATATTGACCGTTATTTGAGGAGCTAATCTTGCCAAATCCTCTTTATGTTTATACCAAAAATATATCCAAAGGCACTATGCAAGTAGTAATTAGATGCTCTAATTTAATTTGTTTACCTTCTGAACCAGGTACTGCTCCCCAAGTTGCATGTCAAAATCCACAACTGCTTGGCCGCTGACAATTTCCAACAACAGCACTCCGAAGCTATAGACATCTGATTTTCGCGTCAAACGCCCGCTAATTGCATATTCTGGAGCAAGATAACCCCTTTTGGATTATTGTGAGACAACCCATTAGCAACGCAGTAGCATTTCAAAGAGTAATCCAATCACAACGCAAGAAGATTTACTGATTCAAACAACTTACATTGTCCCCGCTACACGAGTGCTAACGTGAGAATGGTTGTCCCTTAATAACTTCGATAACCCAAAATCGCCTACTTTCGGTATGAAATTCTTATCAAGAAGAATGTTGCTGGATTTAATGTCCCTATGCAGAATGTGAGGATCAACCTCGTCGTGTAGATAGGCAAGTCCTCGAGCTACTCCTATCGAAATACCCCGTCTTGCCTCCCAACTAAACCTCATCCGGTTTTTCTCTCCACCTATTGATCAATATCACATCGTAAATTCTTCACAATTTGCCTAATAAAACCAGTTAAAATGTGGATTATTCAGGTAGAAATTGAGAATTTAGAAGCAAATAAATGATTATTTACCAAGTAATGTGTGTGTGAGGCTATTGTTTTCCATGTAATCATAGACCAGATATCTTGCAGCTCCATCAACACAACAACCATGAAGCCTAACAAGATTCTCATGTCTGATTACAGACAGAGCAGCCAATTCTGCTATGAACTCCCTCTCTCCTCTCATCGATTCGAGTTCAACGGAAAGAACTTTCACAGCCACAAGGCTCCCATCTCTAAGCTGACCCTTTATAACTCAAAAGAAATTTCACTAAGGGATTAATTCGCTAATTTCAAATAATTCAAGGATTAATTTACAAGAAAAAAAAAATAGTTCAGGACCAATTTCAACTAGGATAATAGTTTGGCGGTCACACAGCAGTTTACTTATATATATATATATATATATATATATAAACACACACATAAATCATAAATGTAACTGGTTTCAATAAATGCAGAATTTGATGTTGCAGGTGAGAGAAAAACCTTATAAACAGAGCCAAATCCGCCTTCTCCAAGCTTGTTAGAGGAATGGAAGCCATTGGTGGCAGACTTCAACTCCTTGCAAGAGAAAATTCTGAAGTTTTCTGGATTTTGACCACCTGCGTTGTATAAAAAAGGTACCAGAAAGCAATTAAGACCACAGTAAACTGCAGCAAAAACCAAGAACAACCAAACCCTAATAATACCTTGCATACTTCTTTCAATGGCCTTTGGAGGTGAGGAGGAGAAGCAATCTGTGCAAGGAAGCAGGAACTTCATGTTCCAGTAGCTGGATGCACTTTTTTTGTTGGGTTTTTGCTGCTGAATCTTGGGTGTGCTTGAAAAGTAAAATCTTGAAGTTTGGGACCAATTAAAATTGGATTAAGGAGAGCAACCCAGGAAAGAGGAATGGAAAGAACAGAACTGGAGACGCAGCAATATAATATTGCCCGCGGGTTTTGACCTCAATTTGGCCAAAAAATTCCATGGTTTGAGTTTCAACTTAAATTTTTTCCATTTGAATATTGTAAATCATCGACCAAAAAAAACATTATTCTATATTAAAACTCGACTTGTTAACCATAGTGTCTGAATATTAGGTGTCAAATTGTTTTTTTCACACGTCAACAAATTACGAAAATAATTACTTAATAATATCAAATGTATCATATTATTTTGTATACTTTTGTCGAGTCTAGTATTTATCGTGGCTTAGAAATTAAAAGGCATAATTAGTTTGATCAAACAAAAATTTTCCTTTTCATTCAATTTAAAATAGTATCATATGGATGCCGTTTCAAATGTATGTGGTTACGTAGGTGCAAAAGTATACACACTAAACAAGTTAGCAAAAGTGCCTAACTAGCAATTAACGATTCAACACGCCTAAAAGAAGCAAAAAGGCAATCATCAAAGACTCAAACGTGCAAAGAATGAGACACGATCACCCCCCTATGACTGCTTGGAGACCAGTTGAATATTATTGAGTTTTCTTTGGAAGGTCTTTGGAGGAGACTAACTAAAAAAGGCTTGAATTGGCCATAGCCTTTGACCCTTTCTGCTTACTAGCAATTAACCATTCTTTCCACAGAATATGACATCCCATCGACGACCTTTAGAATGTAGTAAGAAAAATATTCCAACTCCTCATGTCATTCCTCCGTCTTGTTAACGCGTATGCGCAAGTTTTTTGTCTTTAGATATGTTTTAACAAATTATATATGTTTATGTGTCAACTGAAACTTACATTGCAAATAAAGAAAAATGTTCGTCACAATTAAGGAGATAAGCTATGCTCACACATGAACATGATATGTTAGATGATCATACGGTCTGGGCCGTCTAGCGATCAATACTCACAACAAATAATCAACCGTTAATTAACCGATCAACTTTCACTTCATGTGAGTTTGTGATTAATTAAGAAAATTAAAAAATAGGTTGCAATCATGCGTAGAATTGGCTTATTGCCACGTCAACAGAAGGTCATGGTGCCATGTGGTGATTCTATCAATCCAATGTGACAAAAACACGCTTGTTGGTTTGTTCAGACATTTGAATGGATCAAAGTTTGAACGCGAGGATTGGAGTTTGGAGGATGCGCATGGTCAGCAAGCACTCATAAGCAGTTTAACAGATGGTTCCTTCCTTCTATATCCAGAAGATTTATGTCTGGGACTTGTGACCAGTCTTGTAGTCTAGTCTATGGTGTTTACCACATCCTATATATATTCTAACGTACGTGTATGGTGTCCTGGTGTAGACAAAACCCTAATTCCTGTATATAATACACGGTGGATTAATTGGATTTTATTCTCATGGAATTCTGTTTTAATATTAGTTCAACTGTTAGTGTTAGTGTTCTTTCATTTTTGAATTGAACAAGTCTATCGTGGGGACAGAGGAATATAAAATTAACTAGTCAACATTTCCAATCAATTCAACTCCATTAGGTATTGACGGTTGAGAGCTCAAAGATCCGGTTAAAAACAGCTGTATTAACTTGGCCCAAGATTCTTTTTCGTATATGTTTAAAGAATATAAGGGAATCCTAATTATTACCTTTTTTTTTTATAATGGTTTGGACTTGAGTAGGTTGAAAAAAGACACACTTATTACAATATTAACTTTAGGTGTCGGATGATGGTGACGATTTAATAAGCCATTATGTTGGATAAAAAATATCCGACACATCATTCAGTTAGTGTTGAATAAGAATGAAATCCTGTCAGTTATATCTGACATACATTCTTAACGGATATTATAACCGCCATTATTTTTGAATTTTTAAAAAAAAATATTTTTTACATATTCCGACGGTTTTTAAGTTAATGGTTGTTGTTATAACCGACAGAAATTGACTATTTTATTATTTTAGTTTCTAGCATGTTATTATTTTAGTATTCTGGCAGTTATAACGAACAAAAATTGATTATTTTATTATTTTAGTTTCTGGCGGTTATTATTTTAGTATTATGAAGGTTATAACCGACAGAAATTGACTATTTTATTATTTTAAAATGTTATTTTGATTATAAATAAATAAATAAACGCATGGTTTAAATATATTGTTTTCACTCATGGCCCTGTTGGATATAACCGACATGAACAAAGCAAAATTTTGGGCGGCCGCCAAAATAATCTCTTAATGTTTTTTTTTCACTCATGGTCCCGTTACCTAATCTCTGAATGTTTTTTTTAGATTTTTTACACATGTTATCTTGGAGTATATACAAACATATTTGACGGTTGGATCGTTGAACCTAATTTCGTAGAATGCATATCCTATCAAACTGATAGATTTAACAAACACTTAAGAGTTAATGTTATACTTCCATTAAGTATAAAATAAGATTTATTGTGGCAACCCGTCCCAATTTATTATGTAATTTTCTCCCCAAGTGTGTGAAAATGACGAATATGCCCTCGTTGGCTAAGTGATGTGGATGTATGTGTGCAGATTTAAATTATCCTTCTCGCTATCGTAATTAAATCGTACTCGGCGTCATAAGTGCGTTGAAGCGAGTTAAAACCGAAGTGGAGCCGTAACGAAAAAGTTGCGATTATTTAGGTGCGTAAATGGGCAAATTGTGAACCAATTATATGGGCTCGTATTTCTTTTAGCCCAATCAAATAAGTTGTTTTTCTTCTTTTGGGCCAATTAAAATTAGCTTTCTCTCTCTCTCAGCCAATTAGAACACGCACACACACTCACTCTTCCTTCTCTCTCTCTCCTTCTCGACTCTTCTCCTTCCTTACACTATGACATCCCACACATAACCATCATCAAACTCACACGAATCAAACTTTTGGAAACCATCACCATTCTCCTCTCAACTTCACGATTACCACCATACCCTTAGTTTTCCATTTTGATGAGTTTTAGCTCAGAAACCAGAAGCTTCGACGAGGAGCTAGGTTGCTCCAACATGATCACGTACGATTTACAAGGTTTTGAAGCTTGGGATGGTCTCTATGCAACTTCACTAGCACTTTAGAGTAGATTTGGAGCAGAGTGGACGTCGGAATAGGTGAGTTCGAAGAGTTGCAGAGTTGGCCGGATTTTCCAAGGAATTTTCCAATCATTTTTCGTTGGATTTTGGACTTCCAATAGGTACGAATGTGTTCTACTCTTCGAGACCTTCAAATCTATATAAATTTCATGGATTTTGGTTAAGAAATGAAGTAGATATAAAGCTTTGAAATTTTCCAGAAACTGGCGTGTGTAGACGGCGAACGGCGGAGACCGACAGGTGACCGAAGAAGAATAAGGTATATTCCGTTAACTTTAACGGAATATTCTAACGGCATTAGGTAATGCCATTACTATTTAACGGAATGTTCCACCTATTTTGACGGAATATTCCTAACGCCGTTAGGGTTTCCATCAATGTGCCGTGCACGTGCCTGTGCGTGGCCGGCGTGTGTGGTCGTGCCTTGGCCGGCGTGTGAGGGCGCGTCCGGTGTCCAAAATTTTTTCTAAAAATTTGTGTGGGTTTGTATCATCGAGTAAATCACATTCGTATATTCAAACCTTACATTTGAGCAAACTATGAGGCGTTATTTCTGGATTTCGTATATGTGCTAATTAATAATAGTTGTATCGCATGTAGGTGAGACGTACCCCGAGACACACACATACATATACAGTTTCTAGAAACGTTTTTATATGGAATTATGTTTTGCTTGCCATGTCGTAAATAAGTTACATTTTAAATATTGCATTGTTACACTTGTGAATTGTATTGTGTAATGCTGAGGAGACTCAGGTAAGCTTCTGGTGAGTATTATGTGAATGAATGGGTTGTATTGCATTGGTATGCATACATTTATTTAGAGCTCATCATGGCTGCACCCCCGTATTAGTGCTCCCGCCCGAGGCCAGGGCCAACCTTCACGTGATTATTCACCTTCCGCACCGCACACTTACCTTGGATCCAAGTCTGGTGCTAGCCTGTTGTACAGACCACAATAGGTGGTTCCGACTTGCAGGTGACCCACGATTTATCGCACAGCTTTCACGTGATCATAGCACTTGAGCGTACATATTTATACCCAGTTTGTCGTACAGGTCACCCTAGGTGACTCTGACTCATGTGCTAACCTAGATTGATGAGCTATAGATCCAGTTGTACAGGTCATGCAAGGTGAGTCCAACTGGCATACTATTTTATATTAGTTGCATATCTGACTCACATCTTTTAGTGCTGAAATATTATGACATGGCATATCTCAGTTTTCGCTGGTCTTGTGCATTGGTTTTCATATCTACGTAGTAGTATTTTTTGGAAACTATACGGGTTTTATGGAGAGGGGTTATTATGTTCATAAAGATAAATACGTTTTTAAACGCTTTGTTTTTGTCCACTCACATTTCTATTTTGCGCCCCTCTAGGTTCTAAGTAGCTATTTATCTTTGGTGGCTCATGAGGAATACTCGGCAGTTCTGACGTTCCATTAAATATTGTAAAGATCCTCTCTTGGTTTTGTATAATTAGTGTTTAGTTAGTTCGACTGCACTTTCGTGTTACCTATGCTCTGATATGTGTGTATCATATACTTGATCACGTCTAGTTAAATAAATTTAGTTTTGGTTTTTATTTATTCACGTGTTCTTATTACTATCACTTATGTTGCACCCTTGGCTACGTCACCCTCACGTGACGACCAGCATGCCTTGACTCCGATTAGGGTGTGTCATTTATCCACTCTTGTAAATATTTTAAATTGAAGATCAAATTCATTTATTGCATTCTTATAGGGTCAAGGAGTGTACCTATAAAAAAATCATCAAAATCGGAGCTAAAATAACCGTTAAATTATGATTTTTCGTTTATAACCATCGAAAACTTTTGTTTTGTTACCAATCTCTGAATGTTTGTTTAGTACAATATTTTACGTATGCGATCTTGGAGTGTGTACAAACGAGTTTGACGGTTGGATCGTTGAAAAATGTTTCGTAGAATATGTATCGCATCAAAACGGTAGATTAAACAAACACTTAAAGTTAATGTTATACTTCCCCATCAAGTA